GAATTTAACTAGCTTCCATTAGTGTTTCTAGGATCCATGCAAATAAGTTCCCAATCCATCAAACTGATCTACTGGGTTCTAATTCTGTGTCCTTCACTCTGCTATCCAAAGGCTACTCAAATTCCGGATTTTATAAAATGCACTTTATTCCATTTACATGATAAAAGGAGGCTGTACACTGACCTACAGCATGGACTTTCCCAACTTATTATAAGCACTTATCATTAGAAGCACAACACTGTAAGAGTCTTGGTAGCAGCAACCCTCAAACTGACTAGCTTCTGTACTTTTCAAGGCTCCAATAAGTGGCCCTTCAACAGCTGCTTCCCGTTCACTATTTTTGGCACCAGTTAGTATGCAGTTAATTTAAGTCCAACATTGCAGTAGCAATGCCAAAAGATGCTGTACACTTCAGCAGCTTTAGCTGACATGCAGATAATCCTTATTTGTTATAACATACGCGATATGCAAAAACATTAGGTCTGGCAACAAGTTACGCAAATTATGCACTTCAGATATGCATAAGTGAAGGCCACTATTTAGATACAGGAAAAACAGCTTTCAGAAATGCCAGCCACATTCACCAAAATAAATTAGTCATGTCAGAGTTCCCCAGCTTTACAGTAACTGAGTTGTCAAACTTGAAATCAAGTATCCTTCACCTCATCATGAAGTCTGAGCTTCTACAGGCTTGAGGGAAGTTACGCTCAGAACCAAGACCTTATCTCAAAGGATAAAGGTGGAGCTTTACTTTTTCCCTTGTTGCAAAATCAGTTATTAAGTAATCTGTGTATATCTTACATATCTGCATTCCCAGCAGCTGAATTTTAAGAATATCATTACCTTTAAGGAAACATACAGTGCTATAAATCAGTGGGTTTACTTTTCTCTTTCCAGTCAGTTTGACTCAAGGCTGCGCTGGTCTCCATTTTCCCCAAAGCAACATTTGAGTTTTCCTTATTGTACTTCATTTCACTTTTTGAAATGGAAATTAGGTAGGTTCCCCATCTTTCTGCATCAGATTCTGGGGCATCTCGGAGTGTCATCAGCCGGTCATCAACACAGCAGTTCTTCATAAATAAAATATGTGGAGACTATTAACTAGGCCTTTTTGGCATTGAAAGTTAGAAGTTGGACCACTAGGTCTAACAAGGTACACTAAAAATGCCAAGAACACAAAATTATAATACTATCTCCAGCAACTCTAAAGCACAAGCTAAAGGAGAATTTCCATTGACTATATTATTACTATTATAGACTGTATCTTCCATTTCTCCCTTTTGTGCTTGTGCTTGCTCTCTCTTTTTGTTAGACTACAGAAAAAAGGACAGTGAAAAAGATTACCATAAAATACCATTTTAGATCTACTGTAAGCCAAAAAACAAGAAGTACTGGGGGAAAATAGAGCTAAGGAGGAAAACTCCACTATTATTATCTCCCTTAAACAAGGATGTCATCTCATTAGACTTTTTAGAACAGCACGTAATATTTTACGTCATACTAGAGAAGGTAAATTGAATAGGGAGAATGACAGACAGAGTTTCAATCCTAAATTCTACTACTAAAGAGATAAAGTGAGCTTTTCACAACCATGGAGTACTATGTGCACATATGACTCCAGTAAATGGCCTCCACCACAAAGATCAAAGCAGATCATTCCATCTCATGACTCTATCCTCCCTTTTTTCCATCAGTCAGAGGCAAATTAAGCTTTTTAAAGGCATGTAGCGGTGTGTGTTCTAGGTAGACAAATGGGATGTAGGCAAAAAGCCAAAAGTATTTGTTCTGCAAAGATGGCCATGTGTCAGGTGCTTTCCAAAAAACATCCCCATGCCACAACACAGCATGGAAGCAAACTGGTAACGCAGTCCTACTACATTAGCAGACTTGTTCTCTTGTTTTACAGTGGTGCTACTACACAAATATTCACACCTGAATCTATTTGTGCTCCCTTACCCATTTACCTGCTTTGGGGAAAATGGAAAATGAAATATTTCATATCACTACTGCCACTGAACCCTTACCTCTATCCCGAAGACTGATAAGGAGCCAAGCAACCCAACCCAGCAATGGTGGTGCACTGCCTCCTGATGTGCTGCCATTAGCTAGAGGTGCAAAATACATCGGTCCAACATCGAATCAGCACCAATATAAAGAAAATTGGTCATATCAGAAATCAGCTCAATGAGGCCAATAAATTGACCAATAAATGCCTGATCGTGTGCGCAGCTGCAGTGCAGCACACAGGCAGTGAGGAGCACAGCCTGGCAGCTTGGAGAGCTGCATGCAGCTGTTAAGTGTGCTATGGTAGAAGGGGAGGTGGGGAAGGAAGGAGGTGGTGGAGGCAGGTCACTGCCCTCCATAGTGAGGGAAGGAATGGGGCAGGGACTGGGGCAGACTGCCTGGGAGAGGCATGGGATGGAGCCATGGTTCATCCGAGAGGTACGTGTGTCCTCCTGGATCTGTGTGGGGCAGGTGAGCTGCAGCTGCGGGCCGGAGCCAGGGCTATGTGGTACTCTTCTCAGTGAGGATTGGGCTGGGCTCGGGGCAGGCAGCAGTGGCACTAGGAGAGGGATTACAGGGCAGGGCCCTGCAGCCACCCCAAATTTCACCATAGCTCCACTATAGCCCCCCTTCCCAGCACCGCCACTGCTGCCTTCCCTAAGCCCAGCCCCCACTGAGAAAAG